TGTTTGTTCCATTGCTTTTTTCTCCTTCCTTCAGTAATCTTCCGCGCTCCCCAAGAAGCTAAGCAGCAAACTGCTAGGGAAATAGGCCTTCACTTCCTGCTCGTAGGAGCTTTCATTTGGCCACTCTATGCTAGAGCCTCTCTTATCAAGCAGAAGCTTCCCATCTTTGTCATGAATCTCTCAGATAGTAGCTAGGGAGAGGTCACTGTGATCTGCTGTGGTAATAGGGGGGTTGTGGTTTTAACTACCCACAGAAGGACGTTTTAAAGAGCATCTATTTTAAAGAGCATTTTTTTAAAGACACCAGAGAGCACTCTTCTGACAGGTGCAGCTCTGCAGTGCTTTCTGCTTCCCTCTGACTGAGAGAGGAGGCTGGCAGGGTGGTATTTTTCATGAAGGCAACACTACTCCACTAATACTGTGGATACAGTAAGTGAATTGTAGGCTTATAAGCAGCTATAAGTGATAAAGGGTAATGGGGAACTCTTCTCTTTATAGCTATCTGAAAAAAGACACCAAAAGGCCTCCACATCAAAGATATAAGTTGTTAGCCCGAAACGACAGAAGACAGGCTTTTTAGGTAGTATAAGCCAAAGGAGATGTATAAAGAGAAAAGATCAAGGAATGCCTGTTCCAGATCAAGTATTTAATGAGGCAGATAATATAAAAATCATCCATATTCAGTCAAAACATTACCTTAGCATCCCTTCTAAACTAGGGATGTAATAGTATAGTCAATTAACCAATAAGCAAAAGCTTATCGGTTAGGGCTATAGACTACAAGCATCCCCCCCACCAGTACATTTTTTAGCAGGCTGGCCAGTAGGATGGCTGAGTCCCACCTTGCGCCTCTGCAGCTCTGCATTTAAAGTGTATTAGGAGCTGGGCGGGCAGACAGCCTGGCTTAGTTCTGGCTCAAACCGGGTCTGGGAGCTCAGACCTCTGCCCCAGACAGGGGCTTTTGGCACCCCGTGCTGCTGCTTCTATATCAGAGGCAACAGCATGGGGCTACACAAAGACAGTCCATGAGGGGAGCTGGTTTTTAAACTGGATCCCCTCACGGACCAGCTCTGCCTGGTAGCCCACTCTACTGCCTCTGATACAGAGGCAGGAGTGTGGAGTGGCAAGGAGTTCCTTGGGAGTAGGGCCAGATTGCACTGGGTGCTGGCCCAGCCCCCGGGGACTATAGAATAGTCAAGTAACTGATAAGAATTCATGAGGTTACTCAACTATTCAATTAACTGATGTTTAACATCCCTATTCTATACGGCTGTGTCTTCACTGGGCCACTTATTCCGGAAAATCAGCCGCTTTTCCGGAATAAGCTGCTTGCTGTCTACACTGGCCCTTGAATTTCCGGAAAAGCAACGATGCTCTACTGTATAAAATCAGCCGCTATTCCAGAAAAACTATTCTGCTCCCACTCGGGCATAAGTCCTTATTCCAGAACACTGTTCCGGAAAAGGGCCAGTGTAGACAGCCCAGTAGTCTTTTCCGGAAAAAAGCCCCGATCGCGAAAATGGCAATCGGGGCTCTTTTCCGGAAAAGCGCGTCTACATTGGCCACAGACGCTTTTCCGGAAAAAGGGCTTTTCGGGAAAAGCAGCCTGCCAATGTAGACGCTCCTTTTCCGGAAAAACTGAAAACGGAATAGTATTCCGTTTTAAGCAGTTCCGGAAATTCATGCCAGTGTAGAGACAGCCTACAGGTCTCCACTTCTGAGGCAAGAATTACAGGCCAATTTCCTTACTCAATATGGTTTTTAAAATATATGCTAAACATTTTTCTCAAGGACTAGAGTGTCTTCTTCCTAATTTTACCGATCCATTTCAGTCTAGGTATCCAAGGAGTAGGGCTTGGATCTTGCCCCATTGACATCAATACCCCAAATTATCCACAGAACATTAAAAGTATCTCCCTCATTTAGCATGGTCTATGAGGAAGATAACTCAGTCTTTCATTATTATGTGTTTGGAGAGGCATTTGACAGGATGGAATGGAAATATGTATATATCATAGTGCAATTCTGGACCATCCTTCGTTTAACAAAAACAGGTTTGCTAAATACATCATTAGTTAAGGTCAGATATGCGAGGCAGTGTCTCGTCTCATGGAACTCATCGTGGATGCGTGTTGTCATCTCTGCTCTAAATTGGTCCTGGACCTTCTGGATATTCCAATAATAATAAATCCAGGAATCAACTGAACTTGTGTGGCTGGGAGGGTATAATTGTGTGGTGTGCAGTGGGTATAATTGAACTGATGAATGATTTGGGACAAGATATAAAACATGGAACAGATGTTGAAAGAAGCTTTTGATTCATCATCAGAGTGCAAATGTTTTTGGCCCGAGAGTAACGCGTCCCGTGCATTCAGGGGAGCGCATGTTGCACCTTTCAACAGCAGGTGTAAGAAGCAATTACACAGCATGCTCCCTTAGTGCTCTCTGAGGCACACTGTCTACTTCTGTGCCAAGCAGGCAGAATGCCTCTCTGATTGTCACAAGGATTATCTACACTAGGGATGTTAAGTAATGGTTAATTAGCTAATTGAATAGTCGATGGAATTTCCATTGACTACTCAATTAGTAGATAAATGGTAGTGCTCGCTAACACCGCTGTGGCTCTGCATTTTAGATTTAAATCTAAATGCAGAGCCGCAGCCAGGACTGCTACTTCCCTGGTACCCCCCTCCTCCTACACTGCAGAGACAGTGCTGGGGTTGGGGGGGACCAGCTTTTAAGCTGGCTCCTCCCAGCAACAGCTCTTGCTCTCCCCCTTGCTGCCTCTGATACAAAGGCAGCAGATGGGGGAAAGCAAGTAGTTGAATAGTCACTCAACTAGTCGCTTACATCCCTAGTCTACACTAGAATTAAAAAGCCCGGGCTAGCCCATGCCTACTGACTAAGGGGCTCTAATTGTGGTATAGACGTTCTGGCTCCAGACTGGGCTCTAGAATCCTGCATGGTGGGAGGGTCCCAGAGCTCAGGCTGCAGCTCGAGCCTAAATGGCCACACTGCAATTAAACAGCTTCTTAGCCAGAGCCCTGTGAGCCTGACTCAGCTGACCCGAGCCAGCCACAGGTGTCGAAGTGCAGTGTTGGCCTACTCTTAGTGCCTGTATTCAGCCATAACTGTGTGGTAGTGAGGAGCAAGACCATATCCCAGTGCCTGCACCCCCTACATCCTACCCCCTGCTCCAGCCCATAGCCCTCTCCTGCACCCCAAACCTCTCATCCCTGGCCTCACCCCAGAGACCACACCCCCAGCCAGAGCCCTCAGTCCCTCCTCCTGCACCTCAATCTCCTGTCCCAGCCTGGTGAAAGTGAGGTGACAGAGGGAGGGGGGATGGATTGAATGGGACAGGGCTTCGAAGAATGGGTGGGATCTTGGGGAAGGAATGGGGTATGGACAGGGAAGGAGTGTTTGGTTCCATGCAATTAAAAAGTTGGCAACTTTAGATAATAACTTGTGTGAAATCCCATCACAGTTGAATGTGGAGTGATAATACATCAGCACATTTTAGGCATCTTTTAAAGAGAGGGGTGAAAGGCCATGCACTCAAAAATTCATTTCCCCCCGATAATTTTAGGTTTGTCTTCTCAGGGGTTGGTACTATTTCTAAACGTTTTCTGCATTTCAGGGACAGATGTGATGCTGCTTGAGGACTATAGTTCAGATGGTGCTCATCACCCGCATTGTGTTTATCCCTATCGACGGAGGAGTTCAGTGACATTCGAAGATGAAGTGGAGCAAATCAAAGGTGTGTTCAGGATGGTTACAATAATACTGCTCACCTGGGATGAGCCCCCTGCACCTCCCAGATTGCTGCCCAGCCTAACTGTCCCTCTCTTAAAACTTAGAACACAGGGTATATTTACACTACAGAGAAGATTGAAACTGCCGCTTTCGATCTTCCAGGGTCCGAATTAGCGGGTTTAGTGAAGACAGCTAATTCGAAGTGAGAGGGGCACTTCAGTTGATGCTGGTCGTCCTGCTTCCACGAGGAGTAAGGGAAGTCAAAGGGAGAACGTTCTCCCTTTGATTTCCTACAGTGTGGTCAGTGTCAAAAGTTGAGTTAAGGTATTTCAACTTCAGCTACACAATTAATGTAGATGAAGTTAGGGATCTTAATTTGACTTTTTCCTGTAGTGTAGACATGCCCTCAGAGAACAAGTATTATTCCCTGGGCTCTTCACCCCTTCCCCTCCAATAGCTGCTCTGACTCCTCCCTTCTGCAGATTCCTCCACAACCTTCTTGAGAGGCCCTCCACTCACTCCATCCTTTATTGCTGGGTCACCTATTTTCACCACTGATGCCTGCTCTGACTTCCATCTCATTGACTGTTCTCCCATGCCACCTGGGCTACATCTCCCAGCTGTTTCCCATCCTGATGCTGCCAGTGAGTGAGTGGAAGGGAGGGAAGAACACGTTTTCTGGAACAGGGAAGTGAGGCTAGTCAGGACTCAGGTATATTTTAAAACTGTCTTTCTACCGTCTGTCCAATTCTTTTTAAGATCTGCTCTTTTCTTCTTATTCACATAGGAATGACTTTAAAGCCAGGACAGATGTGTGTTTGATATAAGTGCATCTGCTCTTGCACCACACTGTAGCTAACCAATCTAGGGATGTTAAATCCCATTTAATCAGTTAACTGATTGAACATAATGTTTAACTGGTTAACCACTTAAATGGGGGTGAGCGGAGACTGCCGCACTTGGCTGGAGCAGCCCCCTTCCCCCAAGTCCCACTGGTTAACCATAACCAGTAAGCATCACCTGTAACCAATTAGCTATTCACATTCCTAAACCAATCTAGGAGACAACATAGAACTTTTAGAAACTGCATGAAATTCTTATGGGAGCTTGTGATGACCAGTAAGACAGAGTGGTGCATAACATTTCTGTGAAAAAATATTTTGAAGCTTAGTGTGCTTTGAGAACCTCAGATAAAATATGCTATGGAAGCATAAGTAGTATAAGTTGCAATAGTAATTATATGTAGAAGACATGATCCCACATTTGCAGACCCAAAGACCAATATTTGCCCTCAGATGTTTGCACGTTATTAATTGTTCTGTCTTTATTTTTTTAGAAGCTGCAAAGAATTCTGTTTTCCATGTAAAAGCTGAAGTGCATAAATCTTTGGACAGTTATGCATCCAGCTTGGCTAAAGCTATTGAAGCTGATGTGAAAATCAGCTTATTTGGAGAAGATGCTTTACCGGGATCTTTGTTCCCTTCGCGGACTGTACCAAGCAACAGTGTTGGTGTACGGCGTAGTGGCAGGGCTCAGGTTGGCCAAAGACTTCAGCTGCAAAGCATTGATGAAGGGAATATTTGACAAGAGCACTGAACCGGAAGAAACCACTAAGTAGGACCAGTTCTCATTATTTTAAAAGAAGCAGGATATTCAGAATGGCTTAACTTCAGTGTTTTAGTCAAGAACACTTGAAAATACCTGAATACTTGTCATTAAATACATACATCTGCATTTTAGAACAGTATTTACTTACTGTTCAGGGTACTGTAAATGTGTTTGTGTAATGTTTTTAATTCATTAGGCAGCACATAAAAACATAGGATCTGCCTTACTGGACCAAACTGAATACAGATCAAATATCTGTCAGTGGTCAATTCCTGATATTTCATAGGAAAGCAAACCACACAAGAAAAACCCCATGCAGCAATATATGAGGTGTTGTAGAGAACTGACACATGAGCTATCAATGTAATCCCTAAAAGAGGAGATTTGATGGTTCTACTTACTTGGAATTTTATACACTGTGTTGTTTTGGGGAACTGTAAAAAAAAGACCAGGTCATGCATTTAACAAAAGCACAAAATCTGAGACTAGTTTTCAGATTTCCAAGATCCCTTTTATCCAAATTATGGTCCTGTTTACTTTTCATGTTGGATTATGTTTTTGACAGTCATGGGAATGCTAAATATGAGGCTTTTGTTCCACTGGACAAGTGTTTCACCAGGGAGAGCAGATATATCATTCCCACATATAATGGGTAAAGGCAGGCCAGCATTGGAAAGATGGTTGCAGAAATGGTTTCAAAAGACTGACATGCATATTTTGTTTGGGTTTTTTAGTTCTCTGTGAGAATTATTTGCTTTCCTTGTTTTGTTTTTACTTGGAGGCATTGTACAGCTACCAAGATTTAATAAGGATGAGATTGAATATCAATTCTTCATTGCCTTTTAATAGTGACATTATTCTTCAGGACACATTCTTTACACATAGAAAAAGTACGAGTTGGATTTTTACAAGGGAGCATGTCTTTTTTGTATTGTTTAAGCAATAGCTACCTCAGTGCAAGTCTTTCTTGGAGTTAAACTCATGAAATCTTAAAGTAATATTTAGCACTTATATAGCACTTTTCACATTCCAAGCGCTCTATGAACATAAATTAACCTTTACAGCTCCCACCCCCCAGGTAAGCAATGTAAAGTCCCTGTTTTGTTGAAGCAGCAAAGTGAAGGACCAGGCTTGCCCAGAAGTGCCAGGCTCACTGACAGGGGGAGAGGGCAAGGAAAAGGGGGCAATTGCACAGGAGCCTGGTGGCATTAAGGAGGCCTGGTCCTTTTAAACAGTGCTGCTGTAGAAGTGTGGCAGCAGCTGCAGGGAGCCCTGGAGCTGGAATCCACGGAGCAGCAGGGGGGAGCTCCCTGCCACTTTGAACCCCTGCCTGGGTCCAAGGAGCAGCAGGGCAGAGGGAGGGGGACAGAAGGAGCAGGGAGAGGAGAGCTGGGCTGGGAATGAGGGAAGAGAGCCAGGCTGGGAAGAGAAGAAGGGAGCCAAACTCTGGGGGTAGAGCTGGGTGCAGGACTGCAGGGAGCGAGAGATACAAATGAACTGGGCTGGGAGGGCAAAAGAGTAGAGGAGTGCAAACTAGGGATGTTAAATTGTGGGTAATCAGCTAATCGAGTAGTCGATGAAATGTCCATTGACTATTCGATTAGCCGATAAGGAGGGGAACTGTAGAACTACAGCAGGATTAGCTCCCGGCCTGGGACCTAACCCCACTGCGGCTCTGCCTTTTAAATGTATTAAGAGTCTAAAGGATCTTAACACATTTAAAAGGCAGAGGCATAGCTGGGGGACCAGGCGCAAGCTGGGAATCAGTTGATTCCCAGCTCGTGACCAGTCCCTTCCCCCGCTGCATGTCTGCTTTTTAAATGTATGAAGAGCCGCCTGGCTCTTCATACATTTAAAAAGCAGACATGCAGCGGGGGAAGGGACTGGTCACGAGCTGGGAATCAACTGATTCCCAGCTTGCGCCTGGTCCCCCAGCTATGCCTCTGCATTTAAAAAGCAGACACATAGGACCAGGCTTGAGCTGGAAATCAGCTGATTCCCGGCTTGTGCCCAGTCCCCCACTATGCCTCTGCCTCTTTTTCCCGCTCTGGAGATGGTACTAGGGGAAACTGGCTTTTAAACTGGCTCCCTCCAGCACCACCTTCTGCTCCCCCACTTGTTGTCTCTCTCTGATAGAGGCAGGAAAGGGGGGGAGGGAGCGACTAATCAAGTGTCTACTTGACTATCTGATAAGCTTATGCTTATTGGGTAATCAACTGCTTGACTAGTTGCTTACATCCCTAATGCATACAGAGGTAGGCAAGGAAGCTGGGAGAAAGGAGTTCAGGGGGTACAGAACCTCTGGGGAGCAGAAAGGGGAAGGAGAATGGGATGGATACTTCCAGGCAGGTGGGGGATGGAGCAGTGACTGACCAAAGGGTCCTCTGATTGAGGGGTGGTGCTGGGGTTTCTCTGGGCAGGGAGGAAGGTGGATTCTGGCTCCCACTGAGGGAGGGAATTAGGGGTCCAATTGATGTGTTGTCCTGGGGCTTGGAATTCCTGTCTGCAGGCCTGAAAAGTGCTCGCTCATTGTGTGTGATCCACATGGTAACTGTAGGGGCACAATACCTCTGAAAATCAGCGTTAAGGCATCTCAGTTTGGGCACTTAAAAACCTGAGAATTAGAGAACTCTTGTGACAGTTGAGCTGCATGTGACTTACCCAAGGCCACAGACAGAGTATCAGAGGGTAAGAACTCTAGATTTAATGAAACTCAGCCTCATTTCTAAACTTCTAGGTCACACCTTTCCCTGGCCCCAGTTCAACAAAGCATTCAAGCACATGCTTAAATCCATGCCTGTTCAACAATGCGCTTAAGCTCATGCCTCAGTACTCACTTCTGTCCCATTGAAGTCAATGAGATTTGCTTTAAATTAAGCATGTGTTTTGCTGAATAGGGATGAACTATTGAATTGAGACCGCAATAGTTCACTAGTATGGGGTGTTTTGCATAGCTACAAAATATTCAGGAATGAAAGCTAATAATATCGGTTTGTGAGGAATTGATAGCCAGAAACCTATTGACCCCAATCACGCATTCATTTTACTTTATTTAATTTTTCAATGTATAAATTGTATCTTTTGGCAGCTCTGGGCAAATGTTCAAGAATATGTAAATCCATTAATTGCCAGGAAATGCCCTGCACCGAGGTCATTATTGCCATTGTAAAAGGAATATGTCACTGGAATTCTTTTCATGAGTGATGCTGTTTTCATTGCTGTCTATGTAAACACACACATGGTATAGTAGCTCGTCCGATTGTTAGAAACAGTGTCTTAATGTTCCACTTACAGGCAGTCCCCGACTTACGCGGATCCAACTTATGTCGGATCCGCACTTACGAACGGGGCTTTCTCGCCCCGGAGCTCGCAGGCAGTGGTCCCGCCACCTCGACCTCTGGGGCGAGAAAAGCTGCTCCCGGTGCCCCTGGTCTGCTGGGGACCGTCTCCAGCAGACCAGGGGCACCGGGAG